CTTGCTCAAGTGACAGGAGGGATGTACGTTATGGTTCAAAACATGCATGAGCTTAGTACATTCTTCAGGAGACAAGTACTTTTGTCACGTTTCATCGCAAAGTTTGCACATGGTGAGTGAATAGAATAAGGCATAATAGATGAGTGATTTATTATTGATTCTCCTCAGCTTCTGCGAAATTGTTTTTGTCAGAAGTAAACAGAACAGATTCTTTAATTGGCCTGGTTTGTTCTAGCACGACCGCATGAGAGAATTCTGTATGTATATGTATATGTGAGCTGCGGGGTGAAGAATTATATGAAATTAGATCATCGCAGTTATAGACGCAACTTTTGCAGTTGCGAAAAGAAAGCCTGAAAAAATTCAGGCTTGTACGGGACTACCTATCTAACTATCTCAGGTACAGAACTTTGAACGATGTCCATGCCTACTGGCACCTATATTAAGCAAGCTTAAAAGGCATTTCAGACATGGGTCCTTTAAGTGTCCGTGTAAAGAAGATTTTGACAGTTTTACCACCTCTCCAGTTTGTGTACAAAATCAACGAACCCTTCTCGTGCTGCGCTCTTCCTTGAGCTTAGCGTACTTCCCATCATAGCCTTAGAAGTTTACATGTTTCTTCAAATCGATTTCCACAGTCCTGTCCAGTCTTTTTTCTATTTTTACGATGAGAAGAGGGCGGGGGACTCTTCCGCTTGCCCTTGGGTGAAAACGCATGACAGTGTTAATTAGTGTTTGAATTTTAGATAACCATCTATTAACATTCTAAGCTTCTAGTGCCAAGCAAAAGGGTGTTATCTCCATAAGCTAAGAAGCAAGTAGGCCGTAAAGGCGCGCTGACAGATTCTTATTTGTCAGAAAAAAGGCTTAAGAATGTCCTCCTTGATCTTCAAAGGGTACATGTCCTTTATTCTCTTTTTTAACAGACATGGCTCAGCTTCACTCACTTATCGCTTTGCAACAGTTTATGCGAGGACTTGGGGAGGAGATGGATGAAGCTGAACTGGTATGGAATATAGAAAAAAAAAAAAAAAGAAAGAAAGAAAATTTAAGTCATGGAAAATATAAAAATCTAGTTTGTCGAGTTTCACGTCGTTATTGTTGGCTTGCAGAGGTATCCACTTCTTAGGTTGTTTATTCAACTGCGACTATTCATATTCATATTCATATTTAATAGTAGTTGTAAGTAATGAATTCTCGTGCGGCTGATGATGTTTAGGCTGGTGTTTTCTCTGGCTCCGGGTAGCAACAATAGCCTAGGTAAACCAAGGAACACCCGACAGTTTTAGAACTTCTCTCCCGCAGGATCTTGGTACTTTTCAACTTTCTCATTTCTCTCACCCGTCCATCCTCTGGAATTTCCACATCTATAATTTGACAGCTCATGTCTCTCTTGTTAATGACCACCAAATCCATTCTCCTGGCCCCAGTTTCATGGTCTGTTCGAAGACTGAAGTCCCACCAAGGTTTGTAGTCGTCATTTTTAAGCACACTTTCCGGCGGACATGGTCATACCACGTTTCATTCCGCTCAAACCCACGCTTTCCTGCCAGTTCCCAGTGGATCCCCTCAGCCACATTGTCATATGTCCTATTCCATTCCTTTCGTTTCGGGCACGAAACTACAATATGGCTTATGGTCTTAAGTTTCATACAGATCATTTATTTGTCAACCCAATCCTTGAGTTGGTGCCTGCTTCACAGGAATGAGGGAAAGGTTTATGGGAAAAAATCTTTCGTTAACAATGATTTTCTCTTGTTAAGTCACACCCGTAAGCTCCTTGACGTAACGTGTTAAAATAAATGATTGATTGATTGATGATTCAACCCAAGATTAAGCCAAATTTTAATCACGGTTTCCTTGTCTAAGACCATATAACTCAATCGCAGTAGAGTTTAAGTCCTACATGTAGGTCATTCTCCTAAATAGCCAACTGGCTTTCCTCCGGCCAGTGGAATTTTTACTTGTTATACCTATTTAAAATAATTGCTCATTTCCTCAATTATTTGTGGGCGACAATAAAAAAATAGTGAGTCACCGGTAAAACAGAGACCTCTATAACATAACAAAAGTAAATCGCGCTCTCTGATTGGTCAGTTAGTCACTACCATTTGCCCGTGGGTGAACGCCAAGAAACTGAGCTAGCGCGGTAAAATTTACGCAAATTCAACAAATCTCCTCTCCTGACGGTAAAATACACCGATGAAATGCACAGATGAAAAGTGGAAGTTGAAGAAAATACTAAGCTGTCGTTTTGAAGGAAAAAAGACAAAAGATCAAAAGATAAATTTGCCCTGGATGAATTAATCACTGTTTTCCTCGCGGTTAGAATCGGCTGAAGGATAATCGAGCGAGCGAAGATTTATGCACCTATCAATGTAAATCCCGTGGGGGTGGGGGGGGGAGTGCGGGCAAGGGGCGGGGATTTGATGCTGCCTGAGACTATCCTCTTTGTCTGGCTTTTGATCGTGTGAAGCGACCCCGGGGTCGGGACATTTGACTTTGACCGACAGAAGCCTGGTATCAATTCAGAAGCGGTTACCGAGTCTGTCCCTCGAGGCTTTTTGAAAGTCACGCTGTTGGAGAAAGGTGTGAAGTTTTCATTTGTTTTAATCGCCATAATCTGATACTTTAAACTGTCATCTAAACAGATCATGTGTATTGTGTAAAATTTTTTATCTTCAAGTTCCCATCTGATTGTAAAACTCGATTGAAATGGAATTCCACCATGAAAGTCAGAGGATTTTTTGCGGGTCACTGGTCCGACCTGTTCCGACATGTTGAGCAGATGTTATAAAGCATTGTACCTTTCATTAATATTATAATTCACATGGTCGACTTGCTCAAGTGACAGGAGGGATGTACGTTATGGTTCAAAACATGCATGAGCTTAGTACATTCTTCAGGAGACAAGTACTTTTGTCACGTTTCATCGCAAAGTTTGCACATGGTGAGTGAATAGAATAAGGCATAATAGATGAGTGATTTATTATTGATTCTCCTCAGCTTCTGCGAAATTGTTTTTGTCAGAAGTAAACAGAACAGATTCTTTAATTGGCCTGGTTTGT